CAATTGAAGTTGTTAACGGTGTTGGAAAAAACAGATATAACAAGAAAAAACAAAATATTGCATGCAAAAAGTTTGTGAAAGAAGTGTATACAGTGGACAATAAGAAGAAATAAACAGAAGGAGAGTAGAACAAGAAGAGAAGCATCAAAGGAGGTAAGTGGCGGTCGACCTAGAGGAGAGGGAGCTGGGCTGGCCGGTGGACCGGTGGGACGATCGGCCAGTTGTCCTAGCGGTTGACCGGTTTGATAGATCAGAACCATTTCTGCTTCTCAGCTATTACATAGCAGAACGATTGAAGGATTGAAGGATATACGACTAGCAAATCGATTCAAGGATATACGAAGGGAGAAATCTGCCAAACGGGAAGTAGAGATATATTTTGAATTGTATGGTGGAATTACGATTTGAAAATTGTATCCAAACGTGAAGCGCAAATATATAGATGGAAATATATTTTGAGAATGCAACCAAACACAGCCTTAGTTTTTCAAACCAAGCTTAAGCAGTCTACTAATCAATTCGATAAGTTTACATGCACTATAAAATTAAGTTATTTTAGTTCGACTAGTGTTCGAATTTTTAAAAGCTTATTTGAGATCGACTCGTTCTGCAAACAAAATTTGAATATATTTTAAGATTTCAAGCCAAGCTTGAATAATTTATTCCTCGACTTGTTTTCAATCCTATATATTAGAGGTGAATGAAGTCTTGGTGCTTGGAAAAATAATCGAGAGAGAAAAAGAAAATAAGTTTCGTTGGTTTTTTAGATGGATATAAATAATGGTTATAACAACCTATTTTGAGTGACCGTTCGAGCAGTTAATTGGTCGCTCGAGCGGATAAACAGAGCTCCTAATATCTTGTTTGTTTGCAGGCGAGATCGCTTGAGCAGTAAAGTGGTCGCTCAGGCGAAGACATCAAGCTTCCAATAGTTTTACTGTAGCTCTGCAAAACTTCTGAGCCTTGCGTTTACCGCTTAAGCGGTGGATAGTTCACTCGAGCGGTTTGTTCGGGACAACAGTTTTAAACTTTGATTTAAACACTTTTTTTGTTCAATTTTTCACTCTCCTTCTCTCTCTAAACCCTTTTTCGAAAACCTTAGCTTCTAAACACTAGATTTCATCTATTTTTAGTTAGAATCCATCATTGCCACTTCAGTAAAGTTGTTTATCTCATCAAGAGCTACATTTTAGACCGATTGGATTTTGTTATTGTGGAGGTTCATCTTTGGGTCTTCATCTCTTCTCTCACAACTTTTGATGGTGGAATATCTTTATCCTTGTATATTTATATTTTGGTTAAAATGTGTGCTAGTCTTATGGTATAGATGTATGATTTGGAATGGGTGATATATATATATATATATATATATACATATATGGACATTAATGATGATAGTGAGTTTGGACTAAAATTGGTGAAAGATTTGAGTATATCAACTAATGAAAGATAGTGTAAAAAACATAAATCAAGAAAAATAAAGACACGAAAGGAAAAGCCCTAAAATTATTGGAAAACCCTAAATGTTGTTCTTCGATCATGATTGATAATGGAAGAAAAATCGATGGGTAAATTGGAAGAGTATTGGGATTCTTTGTGTTGTGATTAAAAAAATAGAAAATGCTATAAACCTCAAATAATCTACCAAATTTTTTACCAAACCTTTCACATGGGTGTGAGATCCACACAAACCCACTTGTGTGTGGGTCCCACACCCATGTGAGAGGTTTGGTAAAAAATTTGGTAGATTATTTGGGGTCTCTAGCATTTCTCAAAAAAAAAAATTAAGTTTTGGAATGTTGCTTGTTGTGCGCTATGGCTTTACTCGCATTGGAAAATTGAGGTTCCCACTTGCCCGGTCGTGTAAGGGTGATAAATATGGGGATGTTTTGAGGTGTTCACGTGCCCGGTCATGTGAGGACGACAAATGTGGAAGAGTTGAAGTGCCCACTGGCCATCCGCGTGAGGATGGAGAAATGTGGAACTAATGTAAGGTTGTGCTTTGTTCTATGAAATTGGAAAGTTAGTATCCATGGGTATTAGTTATGATCATGCATATTTTTAATCAAATATTTATATACTTGGTTAAATATATTCTCTATTGGGTAATTGCTCATTCATATCTAACAACTGTTAGGACTTGGAGAGCAACAACTATCCTAATGAATTAGAAGTGATCCAATCTTTTGTTTTTACTAAGGACATGATGTATATGGAACATAGTGCTTCTAATGTATTTATTTTCTTTTGGGACTATGAGTCCTTTTGTTCTTTAAAAAAACTTTGATTTAGAAACTTGTAAGCCATGAGGCATTTGTTATAACTTCCTCTAACTTGTTGAACTGTAAGGATTCATACTAAAATTTGTAACTGTTAAATTATAGTTTAATGAGAAAGAGACCTTTTGGAACTGATATTGTAATTATCTTGGTATATTGTGCATGTATTTGACATCTAGTTGGAATTATTTTCGGGGCGTTACAAGGGTATTATAGTAAACTCAATGTAATGATATTTCAGAAAATGGAGGGTAATTATATTTACCTCATTACACCATTTTTCTAATTATACCTCCTTAAAAAATTCAAAAATATTATTTCATCTCCTCACACAGTCTTTTATTCTACATATACTCTCATTCTTAACCTCATTTCTTTTTCTTACACTAAAAATCTTTCAAACCCTAGCTCCTCCATCTTCAACTGCTACAATCATTGCCGATGCTATAACCACTACCTTCGAGTAACACCATACAACCCCACTGCCATGGCCATCACCTCACAACTCTCTATTGCCGCAATCATCACGCCACAGCCTCCTATTCAACTATCATTTCCACAGTTTCTTTTTAGCGTTTGTGTTTTGTTTGGTGAATCAGAGTTGAACAAAACAAAACTAATTTTGTTCGGCTGTGTCCCACTAAATGGACCAAAATTGATTTAGTTAGCCATGTTCGGCCGTAGAAGTCTAAACAAGCTTAATTGTTCAGTTATCAAAGATCGAACAATCTTAATTTGCTCGATGAACTAGAGCCAAAAAGAGTTTCGAACCTACTTTTTTCAAATAATGTAAAATTACACCCAAATTATTGAAAATCATATCCAAACATATTTTAAACACAAAAAAAACTTGTACATTATTATTCATAATGATTTATATATATATTGTCAATATAGATTTTACTGCTTTTTGTTTGTTATTGTTTATATGCATGTGTATATATAAATTATTTAAAGTAGATGTTTTTATATTTGTAAGATGGATGGAGAGAGTTAGAGATGGAAGAAAAGGCCGTTGGTGGTTGGTGAAGAGAAATAATGGTGGCTAGGTGGAGGAGAATAATGGTGGCTGTGATGGGTAATGGAAAGAAAAATAAAAGGGTGTAAAGAGAAATAAAAAAAAAAAAATTTTGGACTTTAGGTCCTTAATAGTAATTTCATAAAGAGATAAAAATATCATAAAAAAATTAAAAATAAAAAGTGTAATGAGCTAAAAGTGTAGTATAAATAGAAGGGAAAGAAAAGCGAAAGGGTGTAAAGAGAAATATAAAAAGCAAGATTTTGGACTTTTAGTTCTTAATAATAATTTTACAAAGTGATAAAAATATAATATAAAAAAAAATGATATAACTTCAATTGTTTGAGTTATATCTAAAAAATGTCATAACTAAACATAACATGAGACCTAACTAAGGGTGAGCAACGGATATATCAATCCGTTCAAATCAACCGAACCGAACCGATTCGCCGCATTTTGAACGGATGCGTGATAACGAACAGATGGTTGCGGATTGGTTTTTTTTCAATCCATCTAGTTTTGGACGGATGGTGGATTTGAGGTTCCTTTGGCCACAACCGAACCGCCAAACCGCGAGTACTCCTAATAATTTGTAAAACTTTGTGTTTTCAATTGATTTAGATATTCTATTTGTATTTTCAATTGAAAAAGAGTTTAAATATTCTGTTGAAAAAGAGTTTTCAACTTGAATATATTTTTTGAATTGAAAAAAATTAATGTATTATTTATCTATATTTTTTGGTTTTTAAATCTAACTTTAAAAATAATAAATAAAAAAGATGATATATACCGGTTGGTTTTTATTTTCAAAATAGATATAGATGTAACAATATAGAGGTATATAATCTCTACTACTGCTCTATTCATGGTTTTCGTGGTTTGAATTGTTTTTATATTTTAAGAACCACAGATTGTAATACTTCATGTGGATGATGCATGCTGTGATTGTAATATGTGGATGAGACATACAGTGATTGTAATATTTTTTAAAGTCATTGATTGTAATATATATATATATATTTTTTTTGAGGAAGTACACAAGTTGAATTATTTTGAAAATTTATAAAATTTTAAATCGTCAAACCGATTCGCATCCATCCACCAATCCGTCAATCTGCTCAATTCACATCTGCCAGATTGACGGACGAATGCAGATTGATTTTTTTCCAATTTGCCAATCTGGCGGACGGATAGCAGATTGGGGGTTCCGTGGCCGCAACCGACCCGCGTCCACCCCTAGACCTAACTAAAGAACTCATGTGTCATAACTAAAGAAAAAATTGATCATAATTAAAAAAGAAAATGACATAATTAAGGTCTTGTTTGGAACATGCTATTTTAGTAACTTTTTGATTTTTCAGTTAAAATATGAGGTAAAAAAAATTAGTACGTTTGAAATGATTTTTTTATTTCTTATAAAAAGATGTATAAAAAATAGAGAGAAAATAAAATTTTTAAATTTTCAATATATATTATTGATTTTTTAGTTTTTTTTAAGTGACCTTTTGATTTTAAGTTAAAACAGTGAGCTGAACAAGACCTAAAGTGCATAGTAATATATTTTTAAAGGAATATATATTAAAAAGTAATATATTTTTAAAGGAATATATATTAAAATAATATATATTAAAAAGTAATATATTTTTAAAGGAATATATATTAAAATTTCCTTAAATAGAATTGTCCGAAAATAGAAGGGCAATAGTGTGATTTGAGGGGGGGTACACAGGGAGTGGAAGTCTACCCATGTTTACACTTCCTTATCATGCAGTTGGAAAGCAGCAGCCGAGAATAGTAGGGAATAAAACAGGGGTATGTATTTTCACTCTTTCACGAAGGGGCAGTTTGTTTCCCCATCAATTTTGCCTTTATTTATTCATTTATTTATTTTTAATCTCACAATTTACGTACACAAAGACGCGGAATCTAGTAGTGGCTGTATATACTAAAAATACACAGTGGCTGGCTGTATATACTAAAAATACACACACGCTCCAGAGAAAATATATATATCTATAAAAGCTCGATTCGAAAGATTCTTGGTCTCTTCTTTGGAAAGTTGATATTTGATTGGGGATTTCGTAACTGAGCTTTGGTAGGGTTAGGGTTTTTTGGCTTGGATGGCGTTGGGTGATCCGAGGGGTTCTCGATGCTCGCAATCTTCGGATGTGGTGTCGAACCATTGGATTGCGATTCTGAGAGCCGAAGAAGGAGATTCTGTGGAGTACAGGGGAGATTCTATGGAGAATGAAACTAGTGTTCCTTTGAATACAGAGACCACGACTGAGATTTTGATGGCCTATTTGCCCCGAACTCTGGTGTTATGTGAGTTTCGTCATCAGGAATTTGAGGCTCCGTCTTCGTCCAGTAGTGAAGTTGTCTCCAATTGGCGGCCTCAAGGCAGAGTAAGATCTCTCTCTCTCTCTCTCTCTCTCTCTTCTTGAATTAGCATGTGTGCATTCATGTATGTATATATATGCATGTAAGTATCATTGTCAATTCTTGGTTGTGGTGGTTTCACAATTATCTTCCCAATTGCTACCGGGTGAAGAACACCTACTTGCCACATTGTAATGTTTAGTTTTTATTTTTGTGCCTCCAGTTTTTGAGGCTCATTCAATTTTGATTATAATCACATTGAAACAATTTGCAGATCAACCCCGCTTTCGGTGCACCTGTAAAAATATAAATGGATGTTTTACCCTGAGGAGTTTTTTTTTGTTTTGATAAGTGATATTTTTCCCTGAAGTTTGGTGAAGTAACGTTGCTGTGTCTTGGGTCAGCTGCAAATTACTCTTGTAGAAACTTTGGTCAAATCAAATAGAGCATAGTGAGTGTCAGAACCAGAAATTGTCACGATGTGTTCATAAAAAGCAGAGCGTTTAATAACCCAACGAATTTGTTTGGGCTCCTTAAAAATTTTGAATTTTTTTCTTTTTCTTTAAGCACCTACCTTATTCCCATTTCTGCTATCATCATTAACATGTGAAACCCTACCCCCACCTCCACCTCAACCTCGGCAGCTGCCATTGCTACCTCTGGCAGGCCATCCACTAATCCCACCTTCCCATACCCACCCTCCCGGCCAATTACTTGCCCCTTTCCAGCTCATCCCCCTCCCTGGCCTCCTAATTTCCTTCCTTGACACCCCCTGTATCCCCTTCTCCTTCTCTTCCTCCTCCTCCTCCTCCTCAGCTCTTCTACTTCCACCTGCAAACACCATCTCTCTCTCTCTCTCTCTCTCTCTCTCTCTCTCTCTCTTCTTCTTTTTCTTCTTCTTCTTCTTCTCTCTCTCTCTCTCTCTCTCCATCACTATCTCCTTCTCTCTCTTTTGTGGTTAAGGTTTCAAAGAGGGGAGAGTGTTGTGTGCACTAAGGCGATAGTGTAGAAGGGAAGGGGCTGTAGTTGTCAAAATGGGGAGGAAATGGGTGGGGGCTGTCAGGGACGGATGAGGATGATCTAGGTGGTGGTGGGGATGAGGATGAGAATAAGGGGAAGGGATAGGGAGGTTGGGAAAGGGCAGGGAAGGAAGGGGAGGGGTATAATGGGGATGTGGCTGGGGGTGGCTGGAGAGAAGCTGGGGGGTGGCGGTGAAGGGTGTAGGAGGATTGTTGGAGGTGGTTGTGGTGGCCTGAGGAGAAGGTGGGGTTAGGGTTAGGATTTATAAGAGTAGGAATGAGGTAGGATTGGAATTTCATATTAGGGTAAAATTATAATAAAAAATAAAAAATAAAAAATAAAAAAATGAGTTAGTTTTGGTACATGGCTAATCCGAAGATAATTTCTTACATAGCATTGTGAAAGAAGAATTTCAATTGGAGAAAAACAAGTAAATCTAACATGTCATTTTTTTTCTCATTATTTTCTAAAGTTTTGAACTATTAATTAAATCTTGGTATATAATCAACTAGACCACCGTTTTAAGTCATTTTATTGGTTGACAATAATCTAACAAATTAAGGCCCCATTTGTTTGGGGTTATAGGGAGGGAATTGGGATTACTAATCCCTTGGTATTACTAATGGGGTGTTTGTTTTGAGAGATGGGGAGGGGACTATTAATCCCTTGGTATTAGTAGTCCCCTTGGAAGGGGGATTGGTAAGGAGGAGATAGAGATGGTATTAGAAAAATAGTGAGGGGATTAGAATTTTTTTTATTTTTTATATATTGGGATTTTTTTTTAAATATTAATGTTTACTTTTTTATATTTTTTTATTTGTTTTATTATTTTATATAAAAATAATTTAACAATTCCTCACTATGAATCCCCTCACTATGAATCCCCTCCATTCTATCTCTGAAAACAAATGGGGCCTAAAAGTATACATTCCTATTTGATTTTTAAAATAAAAGAATTAAAAGAAGTGGCATGTATCTCTTGTATAAATAAAATTGACTCGATGAAATTGATGGTATTTATTTATTTTTTTTGATGATCGGGTGTCCATGCTAGCTTCCGCGTATGTTGACTAATCCCGGGACCCACGCAAAGCGTCCCCTTTACGTGTATCGGCAAATCTTGGGCAGAGCCAGTGAGCTTGGTCTCAATGAGTTGATAGTACCTAATGAGAGTTAAACCTAAGACCTAGAGGAAGCAAGCCCCCAGGCCCCAAGCTGCACCCATTAGGCTAATCCTCTGGAGTTACATTGATGGTATTAACTAGGATGTGAAACAATTGGAGATCATCTCATTATACATTTGAAATACTAATAAAATAGAGTTAGTAAAATGATTTTCATAAAATTTGGAGGTTATCTTATTTTGCATTTTACGCATACTTATGAACTATAGAGGTAATAATAAAATTTTAAAACTTTGGGGTTGGGGCATGGCCTCCCTTAACCCCGACGTAGTTCTGTCTCTAAGCATCATTATTAGAATGGAAGCAAAATGCAAAACTACAGCTAATTAAAATTATATGTGAGATGAAACATAGAATCGGTTTGGAATCAATTAGGAAGAGGGTAGGCATGTTGGAATAAATTTGCAACATAAGTAATAATATACTTATCATCATAGATTTATACTATGTACAACATCTTTAGAGAAGTCAAAGAGGTTGAAAGTCTAATGTTATAGAGAGAAAAAAATGATAGTGGAGGAAGATGAAAGAGCCAAAGAAGTAAGCATATGAGGGATGCATATAGATCTTTTCTCCTTAAGTTGCTTGGTCATGGTGCCAGCACAATTCAATGCTGGTCTATGAAGCATGAATGTGGATATATAATACAGGTACAATACAATATGAATATGTTGATATGCAAATTCTAAGAAATTAAGATAGTGGAACATTAAGGATACGTTGATATGTTTGTGTACGTGTATACATATCACATTATGCATGTAGTGGCAGGGGTAGACACTCAAAATTTAAATTTTACAATTTATATAAGAAATCACTCTTGTTCAAAAAATTATATTGAAAAATAAAAATCTTTTAGAGATTATATCCATAAGAGCATCTCCATTCAAACCTTCAAAAATTCATATGCCCAATTCTTTTGAAGGCCAAGGTGGTAAATTGACATCTGCAAATTTGACTTCTCTAAAAAGCACTTCACCCAATATGCCGAATTTATTATTTTTACTTCAAAATTTTTTGAACTCTTTTATTGTACTAACTAGAATTAATATCATTTTAAAATAGTTTTGATCACATTTAAATAGTATCTTTTTGTTCTAAAATAATTGCTTTTCAATCAAATATTTATTTGTAAACAAAATTCAGAATTTTGATTAATTGTTACGTAAACACTTTTTTATTTGGTAAAAAAGTAAAATCAGAGTAATGCAACAGTTTAAAAAAAAAAGAAAAAAAAAAAGAAAATAGTGTGAATGAAAAAAAAGACTTTTCAACTCCAAATTTATAGATGGTAAATAATTTTTTAAAAAAAGCTTTAGGGGTTGTTTGGGATGAACTATATAAGTGTACTTTTTGACTTTTTGGCTAAAAAAGTCGTGGAAAAAAAGATGTATGTTTAGGATAATTTTTTGACTTTTTATAAAAAAATCTGTATTAAAATATTGTATCAACTAGCAAAATTACTTTAATACCCTTCTGAGCACTGTCCGTGCATGTCAATGAGTGTGATGTGCTACACTGTGTGTCAGCCGCATCAGTGCACTGTGCTGCACTATTTTGAATTTTTTTTTTTTTCACCAAAAAGTGCACTGTTGGAAGGGGAGTGTACCAAGGGCATATATGTCTTTTTATCCTCTGTCTATTCAGACTTTTATTTCCCTCCCAAACATGTGAATAGTGTTAACTTTTTTGCTTTTTTTGTAACTTTTTTACTTTTTGACTTTTTTAGGAGATGCCAAACACCTACTTAATAACTGCAATAGTAAAAAATATAAATAAAAATAAAATGACACTAATTTTTCAGTAATGGTCAAAAATAAAATAAAAAATGGCAACGATGTTACCGTTGTGATTTGAAATGTAGGTAGGGGCGGTGCTACCCTTGGGAACGAGTATGCAATTGAATACCCCAAAATGAATGGAACTTGCCGTATGTGTATATATATTAAATCAGTCTAATTTGTAGTTTTGAATACCCTAGCCCACTCCTTTGAACACCCACTCCATGCCCTCAACCAGTGTTTTAAAGCGCGCGCCTAGGCGCTAAGCGAGGCGAGGCGCAGGGTTGGCGCTCGAAATAGACGAAGCGAGGCGCATTGAGCGCACGTAAGGCGCTGAGGCGTGCGCCTTTCGCCTAGGCTGAAAGCGCACGCTTCGGGCGCTTCGGCTAGGGCTGACCTATTTTGTGTTTGTGTACCAGCCACATAGGATTAAAACTCTTATACAATACAAATTTGTTGGTGAACTTATTCGAATCGATTGATCTGAGCTTTGAAATCGACTGATCTGAGCTTCTTCAGGTTCGTCTCTGCTTCTTCTCTTCTGCTTCATCTTCTCTTCTCCTCTCCTCTCCTCTCTTCTCCTCTCTTCTCTTCTCTTCTTTCGTCGTCTTCTCTCTCGCATCTATTTGGCTCACGATCGCGATCTCTCTCTCTCTCTCTCGCTTCTGTTTCTTGATTCATATATATATATATATAATACATCATATGATACCTATTATATAATATATAATATACTTATATATAATATATAATTGATTCATATATATATATATAATATTATATAATACGTATAATATCTATTATATAATATATAATATATAATGTACTTATATAATATATAAAATATAATATATACTTATTCATAGTAATAAAAAAATAAACATGTATGTAAAATAAAATAAAAAAAATTAATTAAAACACATTATGTAAAAAATATAATAAATAAATAAACTAATATATATTTAAAAAATTAAT